GAGGACAGCATAGTTCTGTCCTCTGAAGATGCCAGCCACAGAGACTGGCGAAACGTTAGGAAGAACAACCTTCAGAACATGGCCAAAGAGCCTGAAAAACCCACAACAACCATTAGATCCTGGCTGTGAAAGCCTTCGCGAATACATTGTAGCTATATTCCTCGTAGGTTCAGTGCTTTACCTCTTTGGTGAAATACCTGGTGTACTTTAGCACCAAAAGTGCTGCTCAAAATTTTTTACTTATGGTAGCAGACATTTCTCTCCTCCCCCTCCCCCTCCACTACTACTTTACCTTAACACTAATTGGAGATATGTATGTAGGCAGAACTACTTCTACGAATTCTTGGCCTTTTTAAATGCACAACTATTCCACCAATATTTGGTGTAATTTATAAAAGGCTATCAAAGGGAAGTAATTTGACATTTGACACTTTGAACTGATGTCTGTTTGGAGCTTCACTTTTTTCTCATTTTTTTCTCAAACTTTAAAGGACCAACTGCGTCATTTGTGGGAAATGCTTTAGAAAATACTATAGTGATTATGGAATTTGGTGAATTGCCTTTCAAATACTGTACTTTGTGTGTACATGGTTATATAATTTGCTGGATTGTCTTTTAAGTAGCATTTTTGTATGTGTATGTGTTAGAGCAAATACATCTGCTCCTTTTCATTTCTTACTTATCACTAGAGATATAGTCCTGACTTGTTTTCCCATTATACAGTAAACGAGCCAATCCAAGGATTTTTCCTGTTGCTGTGAGATGATGTTTTTTCTGGTCTTGAAGAGGGTTTTTTTGCATTTTTAGGATTGATTTTTTGTAAATCACAAAATTAAAAATTGTAATGAGTAAAGTGTTGTTGGCCCAGTCTATTAAAAGAAATAGGGTTGAAGGGTTCGTTTGTGTCCTTGTGTTTGCTCAGCCTGTCCTGTACAGTAGATGGATTTTTTTTTTTTGTATCTTGTGGAAAATATATAGAAAAAATGCACTTGGTGTCTTGTAGGGGAGATCTCATGCAGGGGTTTGAAAATATTTTTTCAGATATAATTTTTATTAATTTCCAAACAATTGAAAAAAACAACTACTCGTGCAGGAGTTGGAAAATCTTTGACAGGGTGTTTTGCCATGTTGAGACAGCTTAGATTGACTGAAGTTGAGACATTTGTGAAATTCAAGGTTATTTCAAAAAAAAAATTCCCTTAGATCTAGAGAATCATTTTCAAGATGACTGTGTGCCCCCAATAAAAGTAATTAATGTGTTATAATAAAGATTGAGTAACACATGCTAAAATCTGATGCTGACACTGCGTAGCTGGCAATGTTTGTAAAAAGCTGCTGGCATAACTGGCTTCCTAAGCAAGTGAGTTTTTGATGGGGGATTTTTGCTCTGCTTGCCTGTTCATTTTCCACTTATATTGCATCTGAAGTCAATGGGAATTGCAGGTTCTTATGCTCTCTGAGGATTTTGTTCAAAAGCCTTAAGAACAAACTAAATTCTTTTGATTATCTGCTACACTTTCCAAGTTGTTTGTATTTCTCTTGGTTGTATGTATAGTTGAAAGTGTTTATTGACTCTGCTTAGATTAAAGCTTGAACAACTAATACGCTAGGTTTGAATTCACAGTTGACTATAAAAATTTAGATAAATCCAGTTAGGAATAGTAATGTTTAAGGTTATTTTTCTTTTTAAAGCTTGAATCACAAAATAAACTGAAATTTTATTCACTTAACTTTGTTCTAGCTGCTACATATATGAAGAGAGATATATGAACTCCCAAGTGATTTTGGTCTGTTTTAGCAGTGTAAAGAAGCTTGCCTTCTGATGGTTGTTTTGCAGAATTTATAAGTTTTGATTTTGTGTTTCTTTGGAGGTGAAAATACAGAAGACAATCTTGTAATAGACTCTGAAAAGGATTTTAACTGCAAGGATTCCAGTTTAGGTGAATGGGAATGTATACTGTTTCTAGGCAACACTATACCACCATGGATGACAATTTTGAGAATATTCTGCTTGGATCCTTTTAGTAGAAGCTGAATGTTTGTATATAAATATGTTAGTCATTTTAATAATACAGATATAGATACTTAAACAGAGCTTTAGTCAAGGTTTTTCTGGATTATTTTGTTAGCCACTCTTATAAGTGTGTATACACAGACTCTTACACACAACACAGTTTCAATAGAAGGCTAAAAGAGAAACAGAAATAGGAGGTGTTGTTGTTGTTTAGTCGTTTAGTCGTATCCGACTCTTCGTGACCCCATGGACCAGAGCACGTCAGGCCCTCCTATCTTCCACTGCCTCCCGGAGTTGTGTCAAATTCATGTTGGTTGCTTCGCAGACACTGTCCAGCCATCTCATCCTCTGTCGTCCCCTTCTCCTCTTGCCGTCACACTTTCCTAACATCAAGGTTTTTTCCAAGGAGTCTTCTCTTCTCATGAGATGGCCAAAGTACTGGAGCCTCAGCTTCAGGATCTGTCCTTCCAGTGAGCACTTAGGGTTGATTTCCTTCAGAATGGATAGGATTGTTCTCCTTGCAGTCCAGGGGACTCTCAAGAGTCTCCTTCAGCACCACAATTCAAAAGCATCCATTCTTCAGTAGTCAACCTTCTTTATGGTCCGGCTCTCACTTCCATACATCGCTACTGGAAAAACCATAACTTTAACTATGTAGACCTTTGTCGGCAAGGTGATGTCTCTGCTTTTTAAGATGCTGTCTAGGTTTTTCATTGCTTTCCTCCCAAGAAGCAGGTGTCTTTTAATTTCGTGGCTGCTGTCTCCATCTGCGGTGATCATGGAGCCCAGGAAAATAAAATCTGTCACTGCCTCCATATCTTCCCCTTCTATTTCCCAGGAGGTGATGGGACCAGTGGCCATGATCTTAG